TTCAACGTGTGCTTCGTGAGTATAAGAATCTGTATTAGTTGATAATGATAGAGCGATCCCTTCGGTGTGGCCACACTCTGCGTTGGGAAGCACCACACACGGATTAAACTCAACTTGACACCTACACGTCGCTCCGCCCATTTGAGAAGTCGGCCATTGGGACTGCCCCACGCGCTTTCGAGCAGCCGCCGAGATGACTATGATTGATTGATGGTGACTTGTGATTGGCAGGGCTCAGGTTAATTAGGTCAGACGGTTTTCCAGCCTGAATTTACTCGTTATAATTAGGAGCGGTGATTAGGGGAGGTGGTTATCGTGCTGTCTGTGTTTAAATTGCGAAGGACATCACTGGGGTGAATCGGATTCCTCTGCGATTTTCTGGTTCGCCCTCTAATTCAAGACTCATTATTCTCACACTGCAGAGAATGGAAGCACCTCTTGTGGCTGCAGGCGTGACGTGAGCGCGTTACACACAACATGTATGCATGAATTAAACATTCTATACGGGTATACTGAGCTTGGGAATCAATGTTCATTGATGAATTGTTGCACCGTCTATTCGACAACCATATCTGTATGAGGTCTGCGGTCGTTCTTATTTTTGAATGCTATTGTGTAAGTAAACGTAAAATAAAATCAGCAGTGGCCAAGTGGTTGGCACACAGGGCTGTTCACCTTACGACCTTGTTTAAATTCCTGGCCACTGCTGATATCAATGATGAGCGATATCTGAACTCAAACTAAACTACAGTATATTTATTTTACCATGTCAGGCCTACTGAGCTATACAGCTCTTTTTCAGAAGCGACCTGGCCACAATTGATAGCTCACCGAAGCGGCTTATCACGTGGAAACGTATAGCAGCCAAATACTCCAAACGCACGTTGATTCTAAATGTGGAGGGAAAAACCGGAGGACCCGGAGAAAAATCCCGGCAACCACGGGGAGAGAGAGAGAGAGACATGCAAACTCCAAATATACAGGCGTCGTCAGGGTCAGGCACAAACTAACGACCTCCTGTGTACCAGGCGAAGTAGTTAACATATCGTCACCAAACTGAACTGGTCCTTGGTGCCGTACAGTTACACTACCCACATGATTCATAATCAACGTTTTTGGGTTTAGATCGCGTTATTTATAAATGTGTCGTAACTCTCCACCACCCGACATGGCCAATCAGTAAAAAAGTGTCACGTTGACAAAAGACATAGTTCACTGCTTTAGCCCACCGGTGTGTTGAAGCGTGAAACCACAACATTTACAATTTGAGTACGACGTTTCGCTGGTAATTGCATCCAGCATCATCGGGCAATTCTGGCGAATTTCCCGACACATTTATAAATAACGTGATCTAAACCCAAAAACGTTGATTATGAATAATATTGGTCGCGAAAGCCTACGTGTTAAACTACCCACATGATGACTGACGAGGCGTGGGGAGGGCTTCATCCAAGAAGTGTGAGTTGATGTAGTGGCTTGACGTGAATAATTTCGAACCAGGACATCATCACAATCATCATCTTCTTCGTCATCGATTTTGTTTACCCCGGAGAGCCTCACCGTCACAGAATGTTGATATCACTAGACATCACCAACACTACAAACATGATCATCATTTACTTTATCCCTAATAGCCTCGCTGAGTGTCAAGACTTGGTAGTTTATCATTAGTTAATTGATTTTACGAGACATAACAATCAGTATAATCATCTTGAGTATCTTAATTATTTTATATTTACTCAGGAAAGCCTCACCGAGTTGCAAGACCCTCTCTCAGTAGGCTCCCACGCTGAGATTCTCTCACCAATGCGCCCTGTCCATTGGGTATTTCTGTGGAGCGTTCCCTTATCTGTCTGACCTTGCACTGAATTTCTTTCTTTGCGAAGCAAAATTGATTTGATTTCGTGAGCCATGTGGCGGCGAAGGCATAGTAATAACTATGCGTGTCATGATTCACCACCACCCACCATTCCCACCAGGGCTTTTGATGAATTATCACAATTTGCTAGTTGCAATATGTCTTTTTTGTCTCATCTACGAAGTTTTTTTTATGCCATTTGCTCAGAAGTCACGCGAGTGCGTTGCTTGCAAGAATCGTAAATTATCGACTCTCAGACGCGCGATTCGGCGCATCCGTCGCGAGCGTAAGAATCTGTTTTTTAATTGAGGTTTCGTTAGTTGCTTGGTAATGGCGTAATTGGCGGAGCAACTTGAAGGGAAGTGGGGGTGTGGGAGGTTTCGTTGCCGCTATTCCCAAGCGACGCAAAGCGACTGATTGCGGGCGGCGGTTTAGGAACCCGAGCTGTGATCGGGATGTTGGGAGGAGTCGCGTACACGCGCACTCACACCCGGCCGCTGACGCACTCGCTCGCCCAACCACACACTCCCTCACTCAGTCACACACCCACCCGCTGACCCACTCACCCACCCACCCGCCGACCCACTCACCCACCCACCCACTCCCTCGCTCAGTCACCCACCCACCTGCCCATCCATCCCCCTCCTCGCTCACTCACTAACCTATTGCTTCTCTTATTCACCTACTCACCTACCCACGTGGATACTCACTTGCACGCTCACTATATAATTCACTCGCTAGGTCATTCACTTGCTAACTTATCCACCCGCTAATTCACTCGCTCGCTAGCGTACCTGCTCGCTAAATCACTTGCGGCAAGGGGAGAATGCCATTATTTTTGCTCGGTGCTAATGAGCCGTTTGCTAATTAATAACTCAGGAGGCGGAGTCTTTCTGGGAAGAGGGATTTTTTTAAAGTCTGGTTTGCTGCGTGCAGCCTTCTGATGTGGAGATTTTTCCTTGTAAATGCGTACAATCGTTCTCTGTTTCGGTATATATATATATTTTTTTACCCTAAACATTTTGTTGGAGGGCAAAAATTGGTCCGGCAGACTTTTCACTGAAAAGTAAAGAAAAATAAATATATGAAATGCATTACCGAGTACTTGTGACAACCACTGTTTGACCTTCGCCCCTGGCTGATGGAACGTAATGGCCTATACATTTTTTTTTTGGACACGCCAAAGATCGCTCGCGTAATCCCGGGTGAGAGCGATGGAGCCGACGCGACAAATCTGGCCGCTGCTGTGTGCTTTTTCTTTCCACGCGTTGCTGACGCGCGCACACACACACACATAGACAAAGGCAAAGATCCCCCTGTGTAGCCTTAACAGTCTGTTGGGGAAAGTACTGTTAGCGAGCACCTATGAAGGACGGCACGGCACATGACAAGGGTTGGGTGGCCAGCACCACGCCCGGCCGCCTTTGTCTCCCTAGCGGCGATGTTAAATACACACCGCACCAGGTACTCATTTGAGGCTGAGTCGACCTAGGGGAGGCCCAGGTCCGGTTCAGATAATTGTCACCGGTGTTTGCCGTGAGCGGGAATAGAACTCGGGTCACTGGGTTTGTAGAACAGCGCAATAACCGCTACACTACGTCTCCCTACATTCACACACACGCGTGCAACTGTTGAAAATCCCCCTCGCTGAAATTGAGAAAACAACCCTTAACACGCAACAACAACAACGATGACAGCTCACGGCAAGATTTGCGTAATTTCCGGCGGCATTAGCAGCCAAAGCTGTTTTGTTTTGTGTTATTTATGTAATCGGAGAGAAAAATATACACTACGACTAGAAAACATTCTAACTTGAGTCATGAATGCAATTGAAGTTGAATCGTTGGTCCCAATAGTCGTTTGTTGAGAAGGGTCGTGACTCGGGGTGAGTGTCCGTTGTCTGGCGGAGTATGTTTCCGGTGTGTGTGTGTGGGAGACGAGCGAAGTGAGACCTCGCTTATCCTCGAAGACGGCGTTCAAATTCGTCTCTAATCGGTCAGCGACCTACTTGCTCTGCTGCCCTACTCGCTGCCTCCCCCCTCCACCTGGCAGGGAGGTACCCAGTAGTGAATTCAATTCACCTCCCACCCGCACAACGATTTTTACATGTCCGGCGGGTCGCGAGCAATGCAAGAATCAAGAATATTTTTTTCTCCTTCGTGTCATTAGTCGATCATTTGCATTAACCAAATGTGTAAATGATTTCTGAGCATAGGATTCTATTTTAATCGATGAATCGATACAGTATGCCTGGTATGCCACGCACACCGCGATCTCGCGGTGATGCACCGACCCAAACACCCCGCCGCACTTAAACCGACTTTCTGTACTGTCTGCTATTATTGGTACCTCATTGCTCAGCACGGTGGGCGACACTCGCACGTCATTAGCGGCCGCAATCTCCGCGCGATCCACCGACCCCCCCCCCCCCCCCCCAGAACGAAAGCGCTGGATCACACACCTGTGTCATCGCCACGACGATAATCACCAGACTCACACGGCACATACCGTTCATCCATCTCCGTTATTCAGACTAGCGGCTCATTCTCAAAGTTATACGCCCCCACTTTAAATTCTTCCTGCGCCCGAGTTTATTGACAGTTGGATTATGGGACACACCTTCATAAAATTGTAATGTAAGTGCTGTGCTTGGCAAGTAATGTTCACGGTTTTTTATGATTTTCTTTTTTTGTTTTTGTTTCCGAGACCTGCGGCGCCAGATTTTGATTAACCGCGCATCTAAAGGACACGGGACGTCCTTGACAGAAAAAATAAAAAATGGTCCAGGTTCACACACGTGCAGCAAAACCCACTCGTCAGAGATGTAACAGACTCTTGGGGCAAGGGCTGTTCGCAAACGCCTTTGTCTCGCCAGTGCTGATGTTTACATACTGCACCATGTACTCATTTGAGGCTGAGTCGACCTAGAGGAGCCCCTGAATCGGTTCCCATATCCGTCACCAATGTTGACTTTGAGCGGGGAATCCAACTCGGGTCGCCGGGTTCATAGCGCAGTGCGCTAACCACTGCACTGCCGCTCACGACACACACATACGCACACATGCACATAAGGAAGGAGAGAGATCAATGCTGTAAAAATGTACCCAGCATCCTCTCACTCCGGCGGGAGGGCGGGGGGGAAAGAGCTTCTTTCTGTCACGGAGCGCCGTCGCCACCATGCCTGAAAACCTCGTGCTGGATTTGACACAAACGACCCAGGACAGAGGACAGGGAGAGCGGCATGGACAGGAGGGGCGTGGCTTGGGGACGGTGGAAACGATCGATCTTTTTAATTCGCGCGAGTGCCGCGGGAAGTTAGTCCTCCAGCCACTGTCCGCGGCGCCGCTGCCGCCACCACACGTCGCTTCGTTGCTCATGACACGTCGGCGGGCATGAGCGAGCGGTTCTGCGTCGGGAGGTTCAGCGGAAGCGTCCGCTGGCCCGACGCTTCGGCCACGCTGTCGCCGCGGTGCAGCGAGTTGAAGGAGAACGCGGCGCCGGTGGCGCCGGCGGCGGTCAGCGCGGCATCATCTCCGAGGCAGCTGGTGGGTACCTGCTGGTGAATGTGTGCCACCAGCGGCTCGTGAGACAGCTGGCGGTGCGTCGTCACCAACTGCAGCTCGGCGATGGCAGCGCCGGTGGCCATGTTGCCGCCCCCCCCGCAGCCGCCCCCGCCGCCCATCACGAGTGCGGGAGGCAGCTGCTGTTGCTGCTGCGCGCCGTCGGGCACCTGGCGCACAAACTCGAGCAGCGAGCACGTCTTGATCATGAGTGCCAGGATGTTCTTGCCGATGAAGATGGTGGAGACGCTGGCGCCGGCGTAGAGCACGAGCGTGACTGCACGGACGAACACGGCCACCACGTTGATGGTGATGAGGCTGAGCGCTGGGTAGAGCGTGGTGCCGCGGTCGAGCAGCGAGCCCAGCTCGCTGAGCGACACGCACGGCAGCACCAGCAGCAAGATGTAGCAGTAGAAGAAGGTGAGGTTCTCGGCCCAGAGCGGAGGCAGCGACGACGAGGAAGAGGAGGAGGAGAAGGAGGACGAGGAGGAAGAGCCGAACGCGGGGACGGCGGAGCTGCCTCCGGGCGCTGCCGCCCGCGATTCCCAGAGGCCGGCTTGCACGTCGAGCACGTCGAGCAGATCGAGCGCCACCACGAACACGTGGCTGCGCACCTCCTCCTTGCGCTGCAGCAGCAGGCAGCTCAGCGCCTCGGCCAGCGCCCGCTCGTGGGCGGCGCGTGGCGGCGGCCCCCGAGGCGGCGCGGCGGCCGCCCGGCGGCGCTGCCGCTTGCGGCGCTCGCGGCGGCGTTCCGCTGCGGCCGCCTCCTCCTCGGGCGAGGCGGGCGGCAGCTGTGGATCGCCGGACAGCGCGGCATCCTGGGAGCGCGCGCACCGGCCCGCGGCGGACGCCTCGTCGTCTTCGTCCGCCCGGTCGCGGTCGACGGCGCTGCAGCCGTTGCTGTCGACGTTGCTGTCGTCGCGGTCGTCTTCGTCGTCGTCATCGTCGTCTAGCGACGAGGAGCCGTCGGTGTCGAGGCAGTCGAGGCGGTCGACCGCGACGAGGATGACGTAGAGGCCCGGCACGCACACCGACAGGAAGAGCGTGAGCAACTTGCGGCCGAGGCCCGTGTCGTCCGCCACGGCAGATGAGGTGGCAGCGGAGGACGAGGAGGAGGAAGGGGAAGATGGGGAGAGCGTGGAGGCCTCGCCACGATAATTCTGGCAGACGAAGTAGAGCTTTATCTCGAGCACGAAGACATAGAGGAACCAGAGGATGGAGGCGTAGGCTCGGCGTGGCGTGCGAGCCTCGGCACCCACCCACACCGCAACGTAGCTGCACGGTGACACGGGGAGGGGGGGGAGATGCGGGGAGGGGGGGGAGAAATAAAGTTGGGTTTTGAGGAAAATGGGGAGAGGAGAAAGAGGAGAGAGAAGGAGTGACACGAGGACATATTGAGGGAAAGCGAGATGGCAATAGAAGGGAGATGGGAAAGAAATAAAAAAATGGGGAGACATTAGATTACTTGGATATTAAACACCGGGACTTCATGTATGGGTGGCTCACAGAGTTCATCAAATCAGTGCAATGAACCAGCACTGCTGAGATTTAGCATTTTTATTATAGTTTTAAACCAGTTTTTCACGTCTGAGTTGATAATATAAAAAACATCTGTTATATAAAAACATCTGTATATATATGTGTAAAAAAAAAAACTTTCTTTTAGATATATCGTGGCTTAATTCACCTCTGAGGACGAAAAACCTCATAAATATTTCAGACGCGGCACACCACTGTTTACCGAGCGGCACCCGGTCAGTTGTTGGGTTATATTGGCGTCTCCCACAGCTGTTCCATAATTTGGGTATAATAATGTCCCTCATATTAATGTCCTGCAAGGTCTCACCGAGGCTAATGGACTTTTTTGTTTTTTTTCCAGAGGAGTCCTGCATTGGGGACACTTGTACCAATCCCACAAATGAGCATTGTCAGGCAGTGGCTGGTGTCTAGAATTCCTGCGTGCCCACGATGGCGCGACTCGTAAATGAGCGTGTGATGGCGGGGGGTCATAATTGACGAAGGAAACAAAAAAACCCGTGGAAATAATATTAACAATAACGTTGCAAACTTGAAATGAAAAAACTAAAGAGAGAAGTGAATATTCGCGCCAGGTCCCAATCAAACCGACGCGTTTTTTTCCCACCCTTATTGTCATTCAGGCCGTAACGAGCCGTCGATTTAGGAATTAGCAGCGGCCTTTTGTCGCTTGATGAAATGAAAAATGTCGCTGCCGCATGACGGATTTGAGTGAAGGCAGCGTCTGCATTCGCGACACGCATCTCGCGCTTTTTTGAAACGGCGCTCGGGCACCCCAGTTATTATGCAGCCTAACCGCTCCGCGACTGTGATTGACAGTGGCCCGCAGTTGTTTAATCATTCTCCGCGAGTATTTGAGCGCACCGTTAAGTGTCATCGCTAAAGGGTTTAAAAAAAAACCACACACAAAACCCGCACAAAAGTGCCACTTGACTGGATGACATAAGTCAAGGTTGCCGGCCACTCGCCGTGATGGTGAGTGCCGTGCCGAGCGTTTCCAACGGCGCGCACAGAGACGTGTTCGTGGACTAAAAGCGCTCGGCCTTTTGTCCATTATCCAAAAAGCATCAACAGCTTCTGAAGAACTGCACTGTGGTCCTGTTGTCTTGGTGGTGTTGAGTTGTTTGTTGTTTGAATTGTGATGTTGTTTAATATATTCCACCAACTCCTGGACCTCTGTTTGGTTACTCTTTAAAAATAAGTATATACGCTTATTTTTTTCCCATTGTGCTATCTGCATCATGCCATGAGCCGAAGATATTTGCCAGCTGGGTGCATCGCTTTGTGTCATAAAACAGCTATGGAAGATGACGAAAACACTGCAGTAGATCTGTTTATCCTCAATAGAGGCAGACCATTAATGCCCTGCAAAGAGTGTTCATGGCGCATTGATCAAAGCCTAAATTTACGTCCTGAAAAATGCCACACTGAAGTGGAAATTCGTGACCAGACTAAGACCACAAACTCGCTCCACTCCAGAACCCAGATTCTCAGCGGTGCTGTCTCAGTGCTCTGATCCCTGAGCGACGCGGTGGTCTCGCTGTACTGTAACCTCCACCCAGCCAACCCTTGACTCCGTTCACCACCTTGGTGGAGCGTGCACTCGTACCAAACGCAGCAGTGATTTATCCAGCAGAGTGGCGTACGCGTATGAGATGGGGCAACCGAGGAGCATTCCCATTCGGTGCAGGAAGACGTCGTTGGGCTTGCCTTTGAGCGCAGTGGTGTTGTCACCACCAAGGCAAACGCCGGTGGATCAATTTTTGAACAAGGCACAATCCCCCCAAAAAAACCCGGCTGTCATCTGATTGATGCACTGGCTGTTTGTGATGGGATGTCCGACGGTTTTGAGGCTTTGTTCGTGAGAATGATCAAAGAAGGAAAACCGCTCATATGCACAGATTCGCTTTGCGACGTGCATTTGTCCCCGTAAAGATTTAATCCACGACGACAATAACAATGGTGCGTTCTAAGTCGCCACAACGAGAGGACGTCACGAGAAGCATGACGCGTGACATAGCAGGATGTCGTCATGCGTAATGACGTCATCACCTTGACCGCCAAGGATGATCCATTTTGGGGCTCGGGTTTTTGGGGCGATAACCCCTTTGATACATTTTGCCGTGTTTTTTCTACAAAGTCCACATTGGAAACACAAGTTTATACATATTTTAAAATAAATACTTTATGTTAAGTTATATTTATCGTAGCCTCCGCTTTGACATATGAAACAGACAGAGCTTATGCATAAATGCTTTCAACCATAGCTGGCGAGAGTTGAAAGACTTTCAAAGCGGCCGCGGACCCTGTGGTGAAGAAACTTGCGCCGATGTTCTCCCGAGTACGGCGTCGCCCGTGCAGGATCGTGGGAGCGCTCCTGACCGAAAGAGTTCAGTGCTCTTTACAACGAATGCTTTATAACTATTTTTTTAATGATAAATTCAAACTATTTGTCATTGCCCAGGATGCACGCGGCTGTAGCGTGCGTCTCCAAGCCAAGGCAACAGCTGTATGTCTGTTTGTTTTCCCTTCTGTTTAAGAGCAACACGATGTGATACGAGGACTGTGCCATTCACGGTAGAAACATTCCACCCCGACCCCCGACCTCCGAGATGCCGCATCGTCAGACTCGATCATTTGACAAGTGGTGGCCTAACCAGAACCTGAAAAAATTTAGAGACTTCTCCTCTGTGTCTCGGAACTGCTGAATAAAACATGACGTGGCTAATGCCGGGCCGCAGGGCGAGATTTGTTTGTGGTTGACGAGCGCGTGGGAGGATAGGGATTGCGGTGCGGAGAAGCGTGGAGCTCCGCTGAGGATGCGTCTTCAAAGGGGGTTTCTTTTATTTAATCAGAAACAAACTCAAGAGCGGGAAAGGAAATGAAATATAACGACGAGACTGTGATTTGGTATTTAACGAACTCGGAGCCCATTGGGATGACAAGTCTCTTGCAAGGGAAAGCAGAATTCAAACTGAATCAGGAGAGTGACGGATGGGAGCAGGTAAATGTAATTTATTTTGTGATTTTTGCTCAATTCTATCCTGATTATGTAATCGGCCTTAAGTCACGGGACGAGGAATCCATTCGGACGTGAACTTTGCACTCGCAGTGGTCGCAGAGCGGTCCAACTTCCCTCCCCTCGCTGTGTTGCATGGGGAAGTAGATGTCACAGAACTACGCCTGAGATCCATTCAAGTGACTGCTTATCCACACATTTGTCAACAACACTTTCTCTGTTAATTAAAAAAATATATAATAGTGGACATAAATTGTATGCGCTATGAAAAAGGGTTATCGCCCGAAACGTTGCCGATTATATTTTTTGGTAGTTGTGTTAATTGTGCTTGTGCCCCACTGCCAATGCAGCAGCAGCATTACCGAATAATGTTTGGGAGCATTGCATTTTCCTACCCAGCCTGCTACACATTGACAGTCAGAGTTTGAATTGAAATTAATCGGATATACACATTTTATGAAGCGGTTAAACACTTTTTTTTTTTATCGTGCGGTCATTGGTGACTGGGCTGAGACCATCACCTCTCCAACATCAGCCCGGATTCGAACCCAGTGGCAGCTCGGGGCCACAGACCTCTTTGTGAAGTTTTATTGTTTAGCCCGATGAGAAGTCAACCGACCAAGACGAGGCTCATTTTTCGAATGTTACACAGTGACCTCTGAGCCACAAGGCCTCCTTTCCAAAAAAACACCCTTTCTCTCTTTGCAGCTTTGATATCCATGAATGAAGAATAAAGACGGACATTTAAAAAAAAAAACCCAGCGTTTTCGTCCAGAAGAGAGATGTTTGAATCTGCGGTCAGACGACGGGAAAACTGTCGGAACGCCGCTATTTATTTTCCTTGGCAGTGTAAACAAACACTCGATGCCACTCGTAACTTTTGCTTTATATTCTCTCGTATCCAGCGCTTTTTCGGCACTTGCCGATGCGATCTGATCGTGTTTTATACGGCGGCCGCACAATTCCTTCACCGGCGACGGTGTTAAAAACGTCCGGCGGTGCGAGAGTGAGATTCACCGCTCGTCACCTCTGTCCGTCGTTTGTTACTCCCCGGGTTTCATTATTTTGGGGATTTTTATTTGGCGGCGAGCGCCTCTCACCCCACTGCATGCGAGTGGTGACGAATCGTTCCTCGTGCCGCGCTAGGTTCATCCGACTTGGTGACAACCGGGAGAGCGAGAGGGCGTCCGCTGGGCGGTAAAGCGGCTACCCGAGCGGTAGCCACGTTTGCCGCTTGATGCATGCGGAGGGGTCACGGTTCGCATCAGGCGGCCGCCTTGGTTAATACCGCGGGATTAACAACCATGATTCTGTCTGCCTGACAGTGAACGTTAAAGATACCCCTCATGTAATTCATAAGATTCGGTAGTTTTTTCTCAGTGTCCAATTTTGCCAATTTCGAAAGTTTCACAGTTAATTACTCCATTGGGGCCTTAAAATAGCAATCATCGCCCCCTACTGGCAGACTAATGCCCCAGGTCATGCTCGGAAATGGGACTCATCCTGGCCTCTTGACTTCTCACTCAGGTTAACAAAAGAATTGCAACCTGGGCTCTCAGTATATCTCTCTTTCATCGCCAAACACCGCAGCCATTGTTGCAATGCTCTCATCTCCTCGAGACTGACGTCAGTGTCAGGGGCTTGTTCTGCCACGCTGGCTTAATCGCCGCCGACCCTATGGGAGAGCCTTCCTTCCATTTCACTTGACTTGTTATATCTC